GAAGGAGAGAGAGAGAGAGAGAGAGAAAGAAAGAAATACAGAGAGAGAGAGAGAGAGAGAGAGAGAGAGAGAGAGAGAGAGAGAGAGAGATACAGAGATAGAGCACCTGTTCCTTGATGGCCAGGGTCAGCTTCTCTACTTCTGCTTCATCAATGACCAGACTGCCCGCAGAGTTCTGCTTTCCACTTGTCTTCGTCCCCTTCAATAAAAAGGCAGGTAGCAATGTCAGTATGACCGGACGATATGCGCAACATTATATAACCTTACCATCACTACTGCACACACCATGATCCTCAACACACTAAGTGTACTTCTATCTATAACCTATATACTGTGTACATATCTACACACTACATGTAATATGTATATCTATGTTTATACACTATGCGTATATCTATCTATGTATTGTATAACTATCAATACACTGTGTCTATCTCTGTATATCTGTATAGCTGCGTTCACACGAGATACACAGCCTCGCTGGTTCCGTACTTATCTGGTGCTGAATTCGGCTGAAATACCGTGCTAAGACAACCCGGAGCGTTCACACGAGAATCGAGGCTTATCTGGCTAGGTATAATATAGACTGGTACCCGGTCGACAGTTCCACACGCTACACTAACGTCGTGTAGCGAATGGGTACCAGTCTAGGTAAGCGCACTACAGTAAGAGGTCTCGAATTGCGTTCACACGACAGACAATACGCGGCCAGCGTGGTGCCGAATGTTTCAGCGCGGAATCACGTTCCGCGCCGAGTAAGCCGCGTATTTCAGTACGGTACTGAGTAAGCCGCGTATAAGTCTTGAATATGTTTAGCGTGTGAACGATCAGTACGGAACTGAAATCCTCGTGTGAACGCAGCTAATGTAAATCAATCTGTACACTATGTGTATACATTGTGTGCATATCTCTATATACCTATTCACTATGTGTATTTCACTGTGTATCTCTCTATACACTACGTGTACACATCTGTGTACCCATATACAATGCGTATACCCACGCATGTCCACTATGTTCAAGCACACTCCCATTCCGCCTTACCAGTCATACGTACATCACAAACATTGCCCCCCAACAACGACACAGAAGCCACACACCCCCACGCACCACTCGCACTCCCACGCACCGACCCCCACTACCAACACACCCCCTCCTCACCGACC